TCCTTGTTTGACCAACAATCTCTAGCAAAGTGACCAAACTTCTTACAACAGTAACATTGGATCTTCTTCTTGTCATACTTCTCTTTTCCCTTCTGAGCATTCTTTTGTCTATCAGAGGTTGAGCTTTCTGACTTCTGACCACCATCAGATCTTCTCCTGGCTTTTGACTGCTTCTGATACCTCCTATCAGAAGTTGCTTTCAGAGCCTGCTGCTCTACTTCTTTTTCAGAAGTTCTCTCAGTCAAACGCAACTCTTGCGCTTCTAGACTGCTCTGCAGCTCTTCAATTCTCATGGTACTCAGATCTTTGGAATGTTCTATTGCTACCACAATGTAATCAAATTGAGAGGTAAGGGATCTCAATACCTTCTCCATGATTGTTTTTTCAGAAAGAGTTTCTCCACACGCCTTCATCTCATTAGTGATCAGAATCACTCTGGAGATGTATTCAAAAACTTTCTCATTATTCTTCATGTTGAGATTCTCATATTGCTTTCTCAAGGACTGAAGCTTCACCTTCTTCACTGATGCGTCACCACCATAACATCTAACCAGTGTGTCCCACGCAGCCTTTGTTGTCGTTGAATCTGTAATCTTCTCAAACACATTTACATCAACACATTGATGAATAAAGAATAATGCTTTCTGATCCTTCTTCCTTACTTCCTTCTGCGCGTTTTTCTGTTCATCCGTTGCATCTGCTGCTACCGGAACATAACCATCAGTGACAAGATCTAAAACATCTTGAGCCCCAAATAGTACACGCATTTGGATCATCCAACGATTCCAGTTTTTACCGTCAAATACTGGAAGCTTGGTGTTCATGTTGCCGTTTCCGTTCATCTTCACCTTGCACAATACACTCAGATTTCTCACACAGTGTTTCCCAACCCACAGAATAAAATTCTGATCAGATTTTGTTCAAGATTCAACACGAATCTAAGAATCAAAATCAAACACACAAGACCTCACGTTCACTCGTGTTTCCCGTGTTTCCCAATGAATCCGAACCGGAGCTCTAGATACCAATTGTTGGTGCAAAGGTGAATAAATGAGGAACAAAGAAAATATTCTATTAAGAATGACGGCTACAAAAACATGATAAAAGTTACAATGATTGTCACCCTATTTATAAGCTAAAACTAGGGTTACTAGAATAAGATAAAATACTAAAATACCCTCTTATAAACTTAGGGGCTAAGAAAATAGTACAACTAAATAAATATGAATTACTATTAATATTCTAATATATATATATATATATATATATATATATATATATATATATATATATATATATATATATATATATATACTTGTTTTTGTCTTGCACAACTATCAAAACGAGACAAAAAATATATTAAAAAAATAATATGTATAAATTCATAGTAGAAAGTACGTTGTAAGTGTAAAATGCGGTGTTATGAGATCTTTTCTCTTCTATAAATATGGATATTTCATTAATAAAGCCTCAAATTTGATAAAAACAAGAAATCTCAAGCTATCATCCTAGAAATTTGGACATTTTATTATAGAATCCTTGTAACAAAATTTAGAAATCTTAAGCTACTCCTAGACAATAAACTCTCATATGAAGAGTGATGAATAAATATATACATCTGTCAAGAAAAATCTTTCTAACAAGATCTTATCCTATATGTTTGAAAATTTTACTCCATATCTCTATAATTATTCTTAAACTCTTACACACAAAAATTTTGAATTAAAATATCCTCATATAAAAAGCCTTATTTTTCAGAATTCTTGCACTTTTCATTTACACTGTCTAAAGATTTTCGGAAATCACAAAATATACTCTCCAAACCAAAATACTTCAGCAAAGACATCTGATTTACATTTTATTCTCCGGAACACTTCAGCAAAGACATCCGGTTCATATTTCATCTCCGGAACAGATAAAGTAAGAGTTCCGGATTGAAATATTTTAATTTGTTCACCAGAGCTCATTTTAAGAGTATTTTGGTTTATTAAAGTGTGTACAAAGTGTGTATCAGAAGACTTATCAAATGTGTTCCAGTTCAATTTTGATTGCATTCCAGAAGAGTCATAAAATGACTTTCGGAACTCATGTGAGATGTGTTCCGGTATTGTTTCACGTTACTTTTTTTTTTCACTTTACTTTTTTTTACTTATTTTTTTGGTTGTTTATTTTTTTTAGTGGTGCGAACATGAGGCGTTAGGACATTAGGAGGTGCTTTAGAACGGGGCACTTCATCGAGATTTGTTGATGAAGAAGAGCATATTGGTGCATCCGCATCCGCAGCCGCAGCACCGCCGGTTGGCTATCCAGGAGGGCCTTACGATACGTCTCTGTTGGTTAGATACGAGCAGCATATTGCCAAACATGTATGGTTTGGTGAGGTAAGTAAACAACATGTATTTGGTATTGAATAATATTTGAATTTTTAATGTTGTGTTTTATAATATTCGTACTTTTAATTGTTTTCAGGAGAGAGGTCCGAAGAAAGAGTTGAAGGTTGTTGGATACGAGCTGAAGCTGTTAGTGAGGGTTCCACAACAACTTCCAAGAGAGATGGAGCGTTGGGTTTCTAGGTCTGGTCTATCTTCACTCCAGAGAACCAGTTTGACGAAGATAGACACAAACCTGGTTTTCGCATTTGTGGAGAGATGACATATAGAGACATCTTCATTTCACATGTTGTTTGGTGAGATGAGCATTACTCTGGATGATGTCTCTTGTCTACTTCACTTGTCCACCAGGGGAATGTTCTGACTCCTGCAACATATCACAGAAGCGATTGTTGTTGGACTTGCTGTTGATTACTTAGAAATGTTACAATATAGGGTGCAAGAACATGTCCGCCATTGCAGGGGTTCTTACTATAAGCTGGAGTGGTTATATGATTTATATCAAAGAGCATAGAGCTGCTTCTAGATGGGAATATGCGACCAGAGCGTATTTGCTGATGTTGGTGGGTTCCATAATTTTTGCTGACAAGACCTTTACGCTTGTCGAGGCCCGATACCTCGTACTATTTACGGACTTGGACAGATTATCAGGATACAGTTGGGGAGCTGCTGCGTTGGTTACCTTTTACAGTCATCTTAGAGGTGCTTCTATGTTCAGTTGCAAGCAACTTGGTGGTTATCCTACTCTCCTACAGGTTTTTATTTTAATTTAGTTTATTATATTTTAGTATATAAATTTCATTTTTTAAATTTTATTATGTTATGAATAAATTTATTTAGTTAATTAATATTATTAATTTTGTAACAGTGCTGGATTCACGAGTATTTTCCAACACCTGGAAAAAGGGGAGAGAATTGGATACAAGCGCAAAATTGTGATCTCCCTCGAGCAATGAGATGGTCCTATAAGCAAGGAGTCCTGAAGGTCGATGAGTTGCGACCTGTTTTGAAGGATCTGACACCTGCCGACGTCATCTAGCGGCCATTCGAGGATTATAGAGTATGGTGTTAATTTGATGAGATATATTTGTACATGGGATGTCTAAAATGGGGTGATGTCATTATTCTATATTTTCCTGACAAATGTATATGTCAATTTGGATACAGGAAGTATATTCCACCCTACCTTCTGATTACATGATGGATGATGATATTGATGTTGAGTGGATTGGTTACCATCACAACGTTCTTACTGTGATTCGTCCGACAGCATTGGCTACCACCCCATCTGAGACAGATGATGAATATCTTGAGTGGTATTATCGTGTTTCGCATCCTCGTTTGGTACCGCCTCTTTATAATGCGCCAAGAGAGGTGTCAGTTCCTCTTTACGATGCAGGACCATCTGATCCTAGTTGGGCTTGTGTTTCAATATTTATTCATCATTATCTCCGACAAGTTGATGCCGAAGAGGATGATCCATAGTTTGCTAATTTATTTGAAGCTTTACGTATTTCTCGTTCACATTGACTTATATTTATGTTTATTTTTATGTATTAACTTTTAGACTCACTTGACCTAGTTGGGATATGTTTATGTGTTAACTTATAGACTTATGTTTAGTTTTGAATCCAGTTATGTGTTATTGAAATTAAAAATAAATAACATAATTCATGATTCATGTTTTGAAATAAAAAATGAATAATAGAATTCATGATTCGTATTTTGAAATTAAATATGAATAACATAATTTATAATTCATAATGTATTGGTAATATAGACGTAAGTTGTTGCCAATGTTGTAGACGTCCTGCAAATCCTAGCATCCAAGATGTTGCTACCGGAGAACGAAAATTCTCCCAATCTACTTTCACTGGTGGCAATGGAAACCCTTCTTTCATGTTTACCTAAATAAAAAAAATAATCAAAACGTTAAGTAAAAATAACTAAGAAATTAGGTTTGTCATATTAACTAAAAATAACTAAGTACCTGAACCCAATGATTTGTGTTTACAAAACCAATGGAGTAAAAGGATATATTTGGTGAAAATGAAGTTGTCATAGGGAAGAAAGTCCAGCATTCAAATCCTAAACAAACAAGTACAACATTATAACAATTCACTATCAAGTAACCCATATCTGGTAGAGTCAACCATTTCTGTGGTGGTTGAGGACCGAATGCCTCTATCATAAAAGATTCTCCCACTTCTGCTAACCGATCATTAAATAAATTGGCATACAAACTTGATCTTTCATTATGTATTATTTCCAACCCCAAGTCTCGACGAACCATTGGCCAACCATCTTCATCATATCCATGCAATGAAGCAATGACTCTAAATCCATGATTACCATCTAATACAACATTAACTACATCATCAATATATGACCTGATGTGATTAGGAAACTGAAGGATGAACTGCTTAGATGATTGTGAAGATTGTGATAATTTCAAATATTTCGAAGCTTGTGATGGTTGAGATTTCTTCTGTGAAGATTGTGATAATTTCATCTTCTTCGAAGTCTATGATAATTGAGATTGTCTATGTGAATATTGAGATGTTTGATCAACATACTCATGATACGAAGGGTCCCTATAAACACCATACCCTACTGGTTTTTTTTGCCTTTCTTCTTGACTCCCTCTTTCGTTTTTATTTTCTCAGGTGATGGACACAAAGAAGTCATTATGGGAAAGGTAAGTTCAAAAACCCTACTTTTTAATGCCCTTTTCCCAACAACATCTAGTGACCTAAACCTTTTCCATAAATCATCTATTGCACTACTCATATCCACCTCTGATCCATCATCTACGTCTTCCTCCAACTTAACCTCCATACTTGGTTTCCTCCAATGAACATGCACAGTACCTATTGGTATCAGTATACCACCAATTCTATATCCTCTCAACTCACAAGCACAAGATATTTCATAGGTTGTTCTAAGAGTACAACGATATATTTCCTTTTTAGTTCCAACATAATTAACTCGTGTTAACTCTTCAGCAATGCATCTCAATGCAGCTTGAGACATTGAACCACATAAATTATTGTAAAATAGACTTACGTGGGCGTGCTCAACTTCATAAAAACTCTTTTGAAAAGAAGCTCTAATGTTGCCCACTTGTAACTTTAAGTTATTATTCATAGCCTTCCAACATTTGACCATGTCACCTATACTATTCTCCAACATCTGCTTTAACTTCCAATGAGCAGACTCAACTCTAAAAATAATACATAGTAAAAATACTTAAAAAAATACAAATTATAAATATACAATTAAAAAATACTAAAAATAAATACATAGTAAAAAATACTAATAAAAAGATGCATACCGATTAGTCGTGATGTTACCTAAATGTAGCACTTGATTAATCCATACTCCAACAAATCTCTGTCTATGTGGTGTCAACCATGTGTCTTTCACATAAGCAAGAAATTCATTACAATCAACACACCCTTGCTCAAGTTTTTTTGCAGCCGTTGATCATACTCAACCTCGTCACTAGCTCAAACAACTTCCATCCATAAGTCATCGATCTTCTTTTGCATGTCACTAACCACATACTGCTTGCATTTTGCACCAACATTTTTGTTAATGTGAAATCGACATAGCAAATTGATCGACCTTGGAAACACAGTTTCAATTGCTTTCATCAAAGCAAAATCTCTATCTGTCACAATCACTTGTGACACAAATCTTTCTTCACAAACAATTCTTTAAGCTTATCTAACACCCAACAAAAAGTCTCAGTTTGCTCAAACTCCATATACGCAAATGCGATAGAAAAAGTCAACTCGGTTGATATCATGCCAACAATTTTCAGAGGTTGCCTATATTTGTTTGTCTTGTAGGTAATATCCATAACTAACACAATAGAAAAAATATTCAACAACTTAACTGAATCTAGATGGACCCAAAATATATCTCTAATAACTTCAGAGTTATCTCTTTTTCTACTCCAATAAACATAACCTGCATCCTCAATAATCTTAAATAAATATTGTATCTCACTTCTAGGACCTCTTATCTCTTTTTCTATCATACTCTTACGCTTATATATTTGCGTGATCCGAGTGACATTCTCTAGATCTCACTCTTTCAAGGAAAGTAATATGTGTCTAGGTGGAACATGTCTCTTTGTCAAATCAACAACATGCTGCTTCTGATCTGTGGTCAATCTACCAACAAAGGAATGACCTTCTAATCTATCAGGTAAACCATGGTTATGAACTCCGCATTTTACATCAACTTTCCATCCAAACCCATCTTTTGCCAGAGTTGACCTGATTTTAAATGGACATCCACATTTTTCTTTGCACTTTGGGTACCACTATCAGTATCCTTGTGTTTTCCACCTTTATCACAATCAAATATTAATTTGTTACTTCTTCCTCTCTTTCCTGTTTTAGTATCTGAACAAGTGATAATAACAGTTACTTTATTTCGGATTCCAATATCTTTAATCTACCTTATCACCTCTTCTCGTGTACCAAATTTTTGAGTAGTTAAAAAAACATCAGAAGTATCCACACATAGTTTTGGAGGAATTTCCATATCTACACTATAAAAAGAAAAGAAAAAAAGAAAAGAAAAAAAGAAAAGCAAACCGGGTCACTTTAGAAAAGACTTCCAGTATGTAATTTTAATTAACCGGATATCTTCAAAAATGTGATCCGGTACATGTAAGTAACAAACTGGATGACTTTCAAAAAGTGTTCCGGTATAGGTTTATAAAAAACCGAAACTCTTTTGGTTAGTCTTTCGGTGTATGCTTTTTTGTAAATCGGAACTCTTTGCTCATGTCTTCTAGAAGAGATTTTTAACATACCGGAAGTCTTGATTGAAGTCTTCCGAAAATCTTTTTTTTCTTCTGCTTTTCACCAGATGTCTGACATGAATAGTATTAAGTAAAAAAAATAAAATAATAAAAAATAAACAAGGGTAAAATTGTCATTTAAAAAAGTAGGGATATTGGTATAACTGTAGGGGTATGAAGTAAAATTTTTCAACAATATATGTTATTATAAAATAGAGTCTATTAACCAATGCTTTATAAGATATATCTAGGCCACTCAGGTCTGGTTTGACTCCTAATTAACTCTCAATTTAAATAATAACAATATCAACCAATCTCATTGAATGGTTTCTTAACAACATTCCAAAAATGGATATTTACAATACCTCTCTAATCATTAATATTATAGAAAATATTCGATATGCTAGAAATATTACGGTTTTCGAGACCAAAGTCATACACGTGGAAGACATCATTAACAACGCTAACCAAAGAGTTACCAACTACATCAAAACTAGCAAGCATACCACAAAAAGCAGGCAAGAAAACAATAATAACCACATTAGAGAGTGTAAGGAACCAATTCAATTGAAAAGTGGTTATTAAAATATAGTACAAATAAAATAATATAAATTAGTGGGGTCAAATATAGGTTGTTTATTTACAATTATCATTGCAGAAAAAGTAGTTGAAAATTCTTAGAGGTTGCTATAATGCAATGTCGTAATTATGTCTACAAAATATGATACAAGAAACAAAAATATTTCTCCCATTGGAGGTGCTCTAAGTTGATTGATGAAAACACCAACCATATAAGCCCTTGGGGGATGCTAGGTAACAATGTTCGGAGGAAGATCAAGAGGTTAGATTTCTTCCTAACAAAAAACAAAAAATATCTAAAAATGTAATATGAATTGAGAAAACTCCCACGGGGAATGCTTTTCCACCTTTATGTGTGCATCCCACACCTTTGGAAACTCGAAAATGCCCTTCATTCATCCAGAGATGCATATTCAAACGCATCCAAAATCCCACCAAACTACGTTTTTTTGAGATCTACCCCATTTTGAACAAAATATGGTCTAAAGATGCATCTCTATATATTATTTGGGTGTAATCGGAGACACATCTCTGAAATACCCCTTGTACTCATTTATGGTGTTTTTATTCAATGAGTTGATTTAATTAACGACTCAGTGATATTTCCAGAGGCGCATATCCGGAAATGTCAACCAGAAATTGGATAAAAACATCACCTTGCATGATCTTCATTTCATGCTGAAAATAGACTCCATTTTCAAAACCCATAAAATATTTCTCTCATTCTCAATCAACTTTTCAACACCAAAACACCATTATTGTATTTCATCACATCAAAGGGAGAAAATAAGTTGGAATTGCACATAAAGTTCATTCATTTCATCTCTCATTTCTTGCATTTATATGGTTTTTGAGTTGTAAGAAAGAATGTTGAGTCCAAATATGCATCTCCAGATAAAGTTTGGTGTGACCCGAATATGTATATTCAGAATAACCCTTTACACATACGGAGATGCATCTCTAGACTTACTTTCAACATAATAGGGGATCTCAAAATTTTTATTTGAAGCGTGTGTCAAAAGGTGTGTCTGGAGATACATATCCGAATGCTAGGGACAATTGTACTTTTTCACGGTAGTGGAGAGCACATATAAGGGTGGAAAAAGTAACCCCCAACTCTCATATGTATTCAAGTCCAATCACTTTGGACCAATTAATCCAAACTTTTCGTTTTACTAAAAAAAATAGTACATTATAGGAACATGTAAGACATTTGTTGTGAATTGATATCGTCAAGAACAAACCAAAATATGAGAAAGATTGATTTTCTTAAACAAACACAAGAAACCCTATTAGGTTTTACGAAAGAGAGGGGAGAAAGAACAAGAATAATTAGAATTGTTGGTTATAATTGTTTTACTATTCACTCTCTCTAATAGGATTCAAAGATTACAAGTGAATATCAACCACCAAAACTCTCTCTCAACAACTTGAGAGAACTAGCTTATTTATAGACTACTAAGGTAACTTAAGCTACAAGCTAACTTAAACAATTGGGCTAAAAAAACAGGCCAAATTCGACATGCTAACAATCCTAGCATTTCGACTACTGCATGCTGTCACACCTTAATTTTTGACCTTAAGGTCCCACCTCCTTCATTTTTTTACTTTTGTACGTGTGTCTATTATGATTAACAAGTGTGTGCAAGTGTATTGAATTCCAGTGAAGATGACACTCATAATTTGATCCTTCTTGACATGGTCATTTGGTTCTTATTTAAGTTGTTCCTAAGGCTTCAAGTTGAGTTGGGCCACTTTCATAATCATCTCTCGTGGTTATAAGTTCAAGCATGACAAAGTAAATCTAAAAGGGCAAGTCTACGATTTTGAAGATTTCATCATTTAAGTGATCAAGCACCAAGTTCAAGGAGGTCTTCATGTGATTGTATCGAATCTTGATGCCAAAAGGCAAGACGTAGGTCACTCCAAGTCTTTTATTTCGAAGGTGGTCGTAAGATTACGAGTTCTTTTCCAAAACCGATTTGAATGGCAAGGTTGAATAAATTATATAACCTCGCTTATAGGAGGTCGAATACTTAGCAAGTGGAAACTTGCATTTCACCGTGCAAGTACTTAGCCAGAACAAGTTTGAGGGAGAAGTAGCGTTCCATTATGGGTACGAGCTAAACATTATTGAAGGACTAAAGAAAATTAATTTGAATTCATTCTTAAAGAGACATTACAGGAGGCACGTTTTTTTTCTTTCTCTTAGAGTCACATAACATGCTAAAGCCATAAACTCCTCAATTATAAAAGAAAATCCATTTATACTTTACAAAACACCAGTACAACTCCAAGATTTCAAGTGTTACAAATGAACTTAAGATTCAAAGAGAGTCAGAAGACCAAATTCATGCCTCTCCTTCTTGACGGTTACAAGGGCATATTAAAGGTTACATTCAATTTTGCAATAAGAAGAATGCAGCTCCTAACAAGCCTA